CTCTGCCTGAGACCAAAACTAGCTCAAGGGCACTGGAAGCAGCCTGGGATCCCTCCAGTGGGTTATTTTTGGCTCAGGCACCAGGCTCTCCTGGTTCAGTCTGTGAAATAAAGGCTGGCAGGAGTGGCTGTGACAGGCGTTGCCTACCTGGCAGGTGGCAAGGACACACTGCAGGCTGGTTCCCCAAAGCAGGCCAGAGCATTCTGCAATCAGCTGCACTTACACATGGCACCTGATCTCTCCTCTCCTTCCTGCTCAGAATTTCAAGTAAGCCTCAGAAATGGCCACACACACCACAGAATCTGCACACCTCAGCCTGCAGTCCTTGTTACATGCACAGAATACACCCAAGTTCAAAGGCCAAGACCAGCTTCTGAAAATGAAGTTTAAACTTTGAAATAAAGCGAATTGCTGTACGATTTTGCACCAATGCACACACTGAAATAACTAACTTGTGATCAAAGGGAAAGGGAAAACCATGGTAAGTTTTTCAAGCTCTGCCCTACATTTCAGTATGTAATTACATTAACACACAATTCCCAGTTTTCCAATTTGTTTGCTGACACATAGCAAGGCCGAGCACAGGAAATTCTATTTCTTGCAACCATTTGGAGGAAAACAGAGAAATAATAGCAACAGATTTATTTCATACCAACCAGTATTTGTTTGCTTGTAACCCAGCCTAAACATCATTAATGCAAAGGGGTATTTTTCTATGGACACAGGAAATAATGATTAGTTTGGCACAGATATTTGAAAGAAATTGCCAAAGGAACGCAGAATTATGATATCCTACCACACAATATGCATTTGAGACGTGGGAAATTCACATCTCGGTGGTTTTGCCATCCAGATTACACAGATATCATCCTTCCTCCAGGTTAAATGCTCACTACCATTTGAAACAGGTAGGGTTGCTCAAAAATGACAACTGCACAGGGCTACAATAGATGTTTCTGTCCCTTTTGCTTCTATTAAATAACAAGAGATAAAAATAGAACAAGTCACTGCACATTGCCGACAGTTTTGTAGATTTTCCTTTTGCTTTGCTGCCTTTTCCTCTTTCTGCTGTTATCTGTCTCAATCTGATTTCCCCCAGCTTGAGGAGTATTCTCCAGGCATTTGATTGATGAAAATCAAAATTACTGAACAGTTCCCCAAACCCAAATAAATAAGTAAACAAACAGAATATTCCTTGGGCTGGCCAGCGTTTAATAGCAGCATTTGCAGCTGAAAAACCAAGATTGCTGACCTCAATCACTCTCATCTAATTAAAGAAAATGAGTTAGAAAAGCAATTCTACCACAAACCAGCTAATATCCTCGTGTTCTGAAATACCTGTTCTGCTTATTCTACAATAAAATACACATTCCTTATGTTTACAGTCACAATGTCAGTTAAAAACCCCAAATTTTTACTCATACCTGAAAAATGTTTAATTTCAAAGCAATTTCTCTATGTGGAATACATCTACAGACTCTATTAGCAGATTTTCAAAATTATCAAAATAAAAACACCCATGTGAAAGCACAGACAAACCATCACACACACACATCTCTCTGCATAATTATAGAGGAATACAGGAACTCTGACTTGAAGCCTAGCAACAGTATCCAAGTATTAGTTAGTCTGCTAATCAACTACCAAAAACTCGCACACCAGCTCAGTGTGCTTCATTTTCCTAAAGCAAACAAAAAGCCAGACAAAAGAATCCTATCATTCCCAGCTCCTGAGCTGCTGAAGGACAAGATGCACAATAGAAAACAAACCTTGTTCACTTGAGGAAGAACAACCCATGTCATTTAGTCCGTCTGAAAATTCATCCCATCACAAAGAACCAAGGCAAAAGAGAGATTTAAAAATAGGTTATCCAAGCCAAAGGATTATCAGCTTGCAACATACTTAATATCTGCATATCTGTATCTAATGAAAGCTTCAAAATTCTTACATATATGATTGGGTTTTGTACCTCCATCCTATAGAAGCCATAGTAAATACTGTACAGCAAATGCTTCCTAAATCTGCTGTGCTCATTTACTCACAGACAGCTGCAGGCTGGATGAAAACAATCAGGGATTAACTTTTCTATTCATCACATCTTTTAATCCATTACTTTCTCTTAGTTTGCAATAAATAAAGGCATAAAGTTAAATAAATTATAAACGTGCTATGGCTAGTTAAAAAAAGAAGTTTAAAAGGGACACTATTACTGTTAAAATTATCGTGAATTATTATTTTTAATGGTGTGCAACTGCTTACATCAGGCATATGTGTAAGTTCTTCCTAGAAGGAAAAAAGAAGATGCAACAATAGCAACTGAGCTGGGATGCACTTCTTGGTCCCCAAGACTTCCAAAATAATCAATAATTAAAATAAGCTACTCTGGTGCTGTTATTGTTCCTCAAAAAAACTAATTTGGGAGCATGATGAATTGAAATAATCTGGGAAGCCACACTAAGCATTTCATACTGCTTGTAAAACAAGTTTCTAAGTACCTTATGGTAATAGGGTTTCTTGCTTTATGAAAAATACTAGTATAATTTGTTTCAAATAGGATTACTTTTAAATAATACAGCAATTTCCATCCACCTTTCAAACATCTGCCGAGAAAACAAAAGGGATTCCCTCATAAAAGACATAAATACAATGAAATCTAGATCTTGTTTTTAATCCTTTATGGGTATCCTTTTTTCCTGTCCTTGGATTCCTTTATCTTTTCTGTTTGGTTCAGTCTTACAGAACTGCCTCATCCCAGTCTGCAGTAAGAACTTTCCTGGTAGAATCAGCCAGGTGGGTTTTATGGGACTAAAGCCACAGGAATCCCTTGCAAGGCTCTTTCTTTATAGGTTTGTTCACATTACTCCATGGGACATTATTCTCATCTTTTTTGGCTCTAAACTAAATATTTTTTATATTTTTCTTCTTCTTCCAGAACAGCTGGAAGTCTTACAATTATTGTGAAGAAGCTTATTTTATATGTGCCTAATTTTCACCTCTGTTTGATATAAGTGCTTTACAATTAAATTAAAAGAAGAAGGAAGAACAATCTCAGTGGGATTTAATCTGTAGGACAAAGATTTAGTGGCTCTGCTGTAAATCAGAATTTTCTACTTCTAAAGTAGAGTCTAAAAAAATTACAAAGTGCAGAGAGATTGGGATTATTAAACGAACTTAAAATAATAACAAGGCTTAATGAACTTGTTTGGTATCAAAATTCAGAATGTAACCAAAACCACGCTTTCAGAGAGATGAGTGATCAAAAGTTTCTCAGGAGACTTGACAGTATGAATTGTCCTCATCTTCCTGAGGATATTTCCCAAGCTCTTCACTCTTCCTTCCCCCTCTGCTGACTCTAAGAAGGTGCATTGCTCAAGTGATGTAAGTTGGAACACATCCAGACTACAGGAACACAGTGGATAACCATACAAGCACGAGAAGCAAAAGCCAACTTTGCTGAAGCTGCAATGCTGACATCACTCTGCACATTCATCATCACAGCAGCTCTCAGCTTTTCTGCTCAGGATTCAGTTCTTTGATTTACTCTTCTTTTTTCTTTTTTTTTTCCCCACTGGGAGATGCTCCAAAAATGGACATTTCAACAGCTGCATTTTTCATAAGTAATAAAACTTAAAGGACAAATGTCCAGCTCGATTAAATTAGGTGGGAGGAAATAACCTAATGTTTAAACTTTAAGACAAATTTATTGATTTAAATAGTCACGCTCAATCCACCATCTTGCAAAAACTGCAAGTGAATATTGGAAGTACCAATATATCTATTTTTCAGTGGCAAAAATGAAGGCATCAGAAAAATTTGGAGAATCTTCCCGTGGAAAGTATTTTCTAAGCATTTTTCTAGAAATCATCAAATTCTACAAGTTAGCAAAAGAAAAGCATTACCCACATGTAAATATAAACAACAATAAGATGCTCAACCTAGTAAGAATAACATGTTCATTTTAAATTAATGTTTTACAGATTATTAATAAATATAGAAGAATGAAGAATTCTTACATGGAAAGGAAAAAAAAAACCTTTCCATGCTGTCTCTGAACTTTTATGCAGAAGTTATGACTTTGGTGCATTTTGCCCTCAGTTTTCTCAGTGCACTCTGCAAGAGCTGAAAGCACTACAAGAACTCACATTACCACAGAACTTTCAACCATATCCCTGTAGATCACATGCAGCCAGGAAGGAAAAGTAGTCTTTAATTCACATCCTTAGCTTTATATTTCATGTGAGCTGGCCTAATTTCCCATATTAATGAAATACTCGAGTCAGAGATTTGCCTCGCTGAGTTAAATCAGTGCAGGCGACTACACAGAGCCTCCTGCTGCAAAAGAAATGCCTTTTTTTATTCGACTTCAGGCTGTTTCTGTGGAACTTTAATTAACTTGAATTAAAGCATTTTAACCCATTTTATTAAACTGTACCAGGCACTTGTATCAAACTGGCTTTTATTTTAGTGGCAAATTTCTCTATGTATAAAGATCTTGAAAGAGCCTCCAGTTTTTTTGTCAAGGGCCCATAAGGCTTGTCACTACCCTTAATCTCACCAAACTCAGTGACAGGGAATGCTTTCATGGATATGGGGAGTTGGCTTCTGCCATATAGGAATTTTAGAGAAGCATCTTTATCCATTTTGACTTTCTGATCAATTATTCCTATTAGAGAGCTGCTTTAGGCGAGGCCAAAATAACCTGCAAGCAGCAATGTGGCCCTTCCAGGTAAGTGGATGTGTATTTAGTCTGCTACAAACTGATTGATTTATACTTAGAAAGCACTTACCCCTCATCAGATTTTCCTTTCAGAGTGTATTTTTGAAAACACTTCAGCTTTTTCTGTGTCTACATTTTTTTAAAACGAGTTACTTTTCAAACCTCTTTGAAATGTCACCAGCGCTGTGGTTGTATCTCACACAGAATCAGTTTTAATATCTCTGCAAAATCCTGGCACAAACAAGCAAAACTTATTTTCAGAGTCTGCAAATATTTTGCTTACCAATATCAGCTTCCCTGTGATTCTTGATGTATTCAGCAAGCTCAAAGTTTCCCGCTATTATAGCCACCTAAAGGATTGTAAAAGAGGCACAATTAATACATCGTCACCACTTGCTAAGAAGAAGATGTTACATCACTGACAAACATCAGGCAAACGTATTTTCATTTCACCAAGTGGAGTAATTCTATTACTTTCGTTCTGCAATATATATATCTGAAACACCAGTGAGAAATGAGATGTTAATCTGTTTGTAAGAGCACTGCCAGTCCCCCAGCTGCCCATTTCCCGGGAATTCTGTGGTGGCAGTCTCAGGAGGCTGCTGGAAGAGCTGCTGCTCCTCACGTGCTGGCAGCAGTGAACATGAAGCACAGCATCCCCAAAGCTCTGGGGGCTCCACAGGTGTGTGGGGAATGCTGCAGGAGAGACACACTGCAGATGTTATGTCCCTTGAATTGCTCCTGCCTCGCTCCTTACCTGAGCAATAAAAGCAGGAGCTGAAATGCAAAGTACGTGAGAGAAGCAAGAGCTACCAGTATTCAGGTACCACTAAGGCAACAAAAAACACACTGAGAGACTGGTTAAGTTTATGCATATGTATAGAGTTTAAAATATCTAAATATATCGAGTTCTAAAATAACATTTTTTCATTTATTTCCTGGTTGTTGAACACAGATCTGAATTCTCATTTAAATGGACTTTAAAAGAAAAACATCTCTGACAGATGCGAGGGAAGCAATTCAGTTTTGCCACTCCTGACCTCTCCCTTTTTCTTCTCTTTTTGCCCTGAATATCAAGGAATTGCCTTTTCTGGCCCCATTTTGCAGCTCTGACAGATCCTGTTCTCTAATGGCACTGTGGCTTTCCTGATGTATGTGCAAGGCATAAGCTGGGCTCATCTTTCTCATAGAAACTTCTGCTTCTACAAGGTATGGGTTAAAAAATAAAATTTGAAAACTTGCTTTAGTTTTTAGTTTTTTGGTTACAGGACAATATCCAAGAGAGTCAGACATGAGAAATTATTAAAAATCCAATGCAAATTTCTGAGCTGATGACCAAGAATAATTATTTGCTAGTTTGTGCCTCTCCATGTATGAAGAATGATGCAAAAGAAGACTTAACTGCTGAAATGGTCTTGGGGAGTGTATGAAGTACAGTTAATGTCAGCATTAACTTTGAATGTAACAAGCATTAAGATCTTATTTCTGCACTCAGCCTAGGAAATTGAATGGACAATTTTATTTACCAGTAACCAAAACAAACTAATATGGAAATCCCTGAAATTGAAGACTTTACACCCAAGCTGTGGCTGCCCCATCCCTGGAAGTGTCCAAGGCCAGGCTGGATGGGGCTTGGAGCAACCTGGGATAGTGAGAGGTGTCCCTGCCTGTGGCAAGGAGTGGATCTGGGTGATCTTTAAGGTCCCTCCCAACCCAAACATTCTGGGATTGTGTAATCAGGGAGTCTGGACACAAGCAAGTTGATGCACTAACACCTCAACACCACCTGAAACCATCCATCTGAAAATTACTTTAAACACTGGTAAGGCATCCTTTATTCCAGAGAGAAACAGCTTCTCAGCATGGATAAAACATCTGAATCTGGCCCCCAGCCTCCTCTGTGCAGCCCTGAAGTGCAGCTCATTATTCCCCCTGGCAAACAGCACTATGAAAGCAGCAGCAGAGCTGTACTAATCCTCTCTCTTTAACTTCCAATTCTGCAGCCTGGCTGGCTCCGGGTTCCTAACAGCAACATTTGTGTGCAGCTCTGAGGTTTTCTCTGCATTGTAAGGAAGTGATAATACTTCTCTCTGATATTACCCCTAATTAGCAGTAAAATTCCAACAAGGGGGGGGAATTCAGCAGTGACAGGCAGCTTGCTAGACAGCAGCCATGGTACTCAAATGAAAGAATTTTCGATACTGAGCAGATTTTACACCTCAAGTACAAACATGCTCTTCAAGTGATAAACACACTTTATTACTTGGGGGGAAAAAAAAGATATTTCCAGATAACTAAGAGACAGCTTGACAGGGAATTGTTCCCATATTTGCTTCTGAACCAAGCAGGAGATTCAGCAAGCTCAAGGAACCATTTTTCTCAATTTAATTCACTTCGATGTGCTAAAAACAGTATGTAAAATCCTTACAGCAAAATGAAGGAAAGATATGTTAAGATCTAAGGAAAGCAAGGAAAAGTTAAAAAGTACAAATATTTCTTGGCATAACATCAATGCACTTCACTTAAGTTTGATGGGTAAAATGTGTGGGAGAAAGTGAAGTCAGAGCAAAATCGGAAAGACACAAAATTATACTCATTCAATTTGTACAGTTGCAAACCACAAAGCACAGCAACCTCAGCCCTTTTCCCATCCAAATGTGTCTTAAACCAAAATTATACTGAGTTCACATGAAAATGTAAATGTGAATACATTGGGACAAGTGAATTGTCTTCACAAGATCCAGAGCTGCAACCAAATGAAGGTGGTGGAAATTCTCTCCTTGATCAAGTACCTAAATCAGACTAACCGAAGTTCTATATTTGTACTAAATTTCTTTGTACTTTAATAAAAAATAGTAATGTAGTGCCTTGGCAGAAAATACTAGAGTTTGATTCTCTCCATGCTTCATAATTCACATGGTTTTAAATAGCCATAGTTTGCTTTTCAGGATGTTCTGTAGACAAGTGCTAGATTTAAAATTAAGAGGTTATGGCAGGAAAGAAGGTTTTGTTTGAGATTTCTTTTGATCACAAGACATCTCCTCTTGGCAGTGAAAAAGTAGCACAGCCAGCAAAACTGCAGTGAGAATTTGCTTCCAATTCCAGTAGGAACTGGATTCCAGTCATCAAAATGCATCACGTGCATGTTTACAGACATGAAATATCTCCATGAAAGGCTGGAGGTAGCACTTTACAACTAGGGGCTATCTACTGACTCTGTTATGCTGAAGCTTCAAAAATTGCAGCTTTCCTAAAACTGCATATGCAGCAGTCTTGCCATAATTCAGGTTCCTTCATTCCTGCAGCAAACGTTCTTTCACGTCGTCCTTTTGACATTTATCTCACATCAAAAGCCTGCATGTCCTCAGTCACGTTATTCTGCAAACCTGATAAAACCTGGTTCTGCATCTTGTACGAAATAAAACCATCGCTCACAAACAATTTCCACTAAAACCTGCTTTGTGTTTTGCCCTGTTTTTAAAGGATATCTTTACTTTGCATCCAGAATCGGAAAGAGTTCACCTGCAGGGTCCCAGCACGGTGTCAATCAAAGCCCAGCAGAAAAGCCCGACTCAGTAATTTGGTGCTTTTAATCCCAAACCAGAATCTTTGTCTGCTGCAGACATTTGGTTGGGAGTCCTGCCACATTCTACAGTACAGAGAGTAGAAATTATCTTGTTGGGTTTATTTTAATCAGCATTAGAGGCAATTTTATATGAATGATAGTAACCAAAGTGAATCACTTATCAGCTCCCTCCCAAGCTTAATTGACCCCACTAAGGCTGTTAACACTGGCACCTAATTATTAACAAATTACCTTTGATAACACACGTCTGGCCTGGGTAAGTCTGCCACAGGGAAGCGAGCAGAGAGTAAAGCTGAGCAGGAAGATGGATCTTGGTAGGAGGCAACTCATATAAAATCAAAAGAGAGGATAAAACCATGCAGCTGGACAGTGACACTTCCTCCTGTGCCCACAGTGATCTGTCTCCAGCGTGACAAAACTTAATGGAGTGCCCGAAATGGGTCCCAGCTGGGCCACCCTGAAGCACAGAGCCAGGGGCTGGCTGTCACTCGGGGCGTGTTACAGGCAGCGTGACCAGAAAGGTTGTGTTTACACAGATATTTCCTCTGCCTCGGGAGAAGCAGAGCTGTCACAGACACCCCGGTGTCTCGCTCGCTGTCTCACAGACAGATGTTTCTTTCCAATGATGCCACTGCTTCCAGGGCCTCGCTGTTTGCCATGGCAGGCAGTGCCAGATGCTGCGCTGCCGAGCCAAGGCAGGAAGGGAAGGAGTTTAATCGGCACTTGGCGAGTTGCTACGGGTGGTAACCAAGGGACAGCTCAGCCGAGTGGAAACCTGAATGAATGAATGAATGAATGAAGCAGCTGCAAGGCAGGGACTGGGAGGGAGCAGCAGGAGGTGGGAGCATCCCAGCACTGGCACCTTCACAAGCAGGTCTCCTTCTCACCCCTGGCTTTCGGATATTCGCAGTCAGAAATGTTCCCTCTGGATAAAGGCACTCTAAGTTGCCTTCTTTCAGGAGTCAATTCAGAAGTTAAATATTTGAGGCATCAGGTTAGTTCTGTTTTTTTCTGAATCGTGTTCCCCAAAGAAACTTAGTTTAAATAATAGCAAATAAAAGTACTTTGTGTAAACAGTGAAACTGGTGAGATGTCCTGTTACAGGTTTCAGTGTGACAGAGTTTCACAATGTTTTCAGACTCTGAATCAGACAGAAGTAGCACTGACTCACCACCAGCTCTGTTTAGCCTCATAAATGCAGTTCTAAAGATATCAATTTACTTACATTCAAGTATTTACATTTTTTAATGGGGATTAAATGCAGTTTTTTGTTCCTTTTGGGAAACAAGAAGTTGTATCTACACTTTACCTGGCACTAACCTTTCACAATTGACTTTTTCCTGCTCTTGAAATGTATCACAGGTAGAGATTATATTAAATTAGAGCATGATTTTGTAGCCTGTTAACAAATACAATTTTAGAGCTTTATAGGCTAGTCCCTGAAAGGCAAACACCACGGCTAAATTACATTACCACTCTTGGGAACAAACTGTTCCACCCAAGGAGAAACAACAGAAAAAAGACAGAAACTGAAGCTGTCCCCTCTTAAATCAAGACAATGAACTTTGACAAACTTTCTCTGTGGGACTGAAGAGAGCCTCTTAGTACATTTATGTTCCACTCAGTCCAGGCTTCTGCATTTCTGCTGCACATGCTTAGATTTGAGATACCCAGAGCTCTGAAATGCAGAGCCTTTGGAGGGGGCAGAGGGAGCTGCAGGGCTGCAGCTGCTATTCACAGTGAGCACATAAAACAGCACCACTC